GCATGCCTGCCTGCCTGCCTGCCCACCACCCTACTAGCCTGTCTGCCTGCCCACCACCCTACTAGCCTGTCTGCCTGCCTGCCTGCCCACCACCCTATTCACCTACACGTCAATGGCTACACGTCTGGCTGACGCTTCCCCTTTGCAGAGGTGATAGGAGCGCTGGTGTCGGTGCTGCTCATCTGGGTGATCACGGGCATCCTCGTCTACCTGGCCGTGATGCGCATCGTTAGGGGCGAGTACGAAATCGACGCCCCGATCATGCTCATTACTGCCGGCGTCGGCGTCGTCATCAACCTATTGTGAGTATGCGTGACTAACACAAATCGTTCGTAAAATGCAATACAGTAAAAACCCGCGTATAAGAACCTAGTGAGTGATTAAGAACCTGTTAGGCTAACGCTCCATTAGGAGTGTTCCCAACTTTGATATCATTAGTGATTAATGATTAATGATTGATAATCCTAACCCTAACCCGAACCTAAATGACATTAATTTGATTAAACCACAAACTAATATATGACCATGACCATATGTATGTTATTATGACCACTAATGACATTAAAGTTGGGAACACTCCTTATGGAGTATCACCCACCTGTTACTGCACACAGTTAGGCTAAGGTTAAGATCCCCTCGACATGAGAACCTGTTTTAGTCTAAAATTTAAAACAGGTTCTTATTTGAAGTCATAAATCAACTAATGTACAAAAATACAGTACAGTGCAGTTTCACTGCGTACATTATGAAATTGAGCCTGGTACCATATCTTATGACTAAGGAACATGGCCAGGCATTATGTTTGTGGTGTTTTAAAACAATCTAGTTTTGTTTTGTTGATGTTTATTAGGTATAAAAGGCATAAAAACAAAAAGATAACCTAGAATAGGGTTTGCATTTGTCTAGATTGCAGTCATTTAGACATAATTATGTGCATATTTTATATAAATAATGGACCACACCAATATTCTTTCAGCAACAAGCACCTTTAAAAATAAACTATTTAAGAACCTAAATAGCCTAATTTCCCAGTAAACACCAATTATTTAAGAACCTTTTTTAGACTAACTTGGGAAAATGCAGGTTCTTATACGCGAGTTTTTACTGTAGTTGTAAATAAATAACAGTGGCCATTTTACTACATTACTTTTACATTGATTTTACTTATTTTACGCGGTCAACCTATTGTCAGTATGTGCGCGGCGGCGGCGGATACTAGTGACTAGGTTGGCGGGGCTAGGCATGGGTAGCTACACGTGTAGCATTGTTAATGTGGCTGTGGAATGAAATAATGCTGTAGGTTGGTGGGCTAAGCATTAACACTTGTAGGTTTGTTGTGTGTAGCTGTGGAATGAAATAATGCTACAGGTTGGTGGGCTAGCATGCGTAGCTACACGTGTAGCATTGTTAATGTGAGTGGCTGTGGAATAAAATAATGCTGCAGGTTGGTGGGCTAAGCACTCTTGGAAATGGATGATTGAAATGGGGATTGAAAACCCAATCTTTCTTGATTCGTAAAAAAACCGGAATTAACGAGTGCGTCGTTCTTCTGCCTCCCCCCAGCATGGGATTCATTCTGCACAGCACCGGCCACGGACACAGTCATGGCGGGGTGAGCCACGCCGAGGTGGCCGCGCACAGCCACGAGGGCAGCAAGAAAAAACCGATGAACGTGAACGTGCGGGCGGCGTTCATACACGTGCTCGGCGACCTGGTGCAGAGCATAGGCGTCATGGTTGCAGCCATCGTCATCTACTTCAAGGTGATTTCAGCGTATATACATTAACTGGATGTGCGTCAGATTTGTATCATGTGGTCCTAGTTTTGCATTCAACGTGCTGCTCTGCTGTATTTTTTAGTGGTAGAACTCAATGCCTTCTACTAATATCAATATTAATATCAATATCAATATCAATATCAATATCAATATATTAATATCAATTGGCCTTGACCAATTGAGTCAAATGTCGGTTACTAACGTCTCACCACCAGTAATGTAATGCGTCATGTTTTTACTGTCCAACTGTGCATATTCCAATTTTGTTAACGTCCGTATGCTTTGCAGCCCGAGTACAAGGTAGCGGACCCTATCTGCACGTTCCTCTTCTCAGTCCTCGTTCTCGTAACTACGCTGACAATCATGCGAGACATCGTCAACGTTCTCATGGAAGGTATGATCGCTCAGCTGCTAATAACAATGCCATTAATACTAGAGTTGACCTAGCTTGACCATTTGCTCATCGTTGCCACACACTATATATATATATATATGTGCTACTGCAAACATGTACAAAACAGTGAAATAAATCGCGTGGCAATATCGGTAAATAACCACGCTTATACTATACGCTTATACGCTTATACAGTGTTAGAGCTTTAAAATAAAAACCTCTCGCCAAACTGGGCGAGTGAGTCAATTAGTTAACTCGCCCAAACGGAATCTCTACTCGCCCAAATTTTAAAACAACAAGTGCCGCATAGCGACAGCGCTCATCTAACGTCTACTGCGGTGACTCTGTGGTGG